GATAATGACTTTTATGGATTCATTCATAGTAGCAGATGTTTTGTCTAGTGTGACGTTAGGATTGATTACACTTCAATTTCATGTGGAACAGGTATATGGTACACAAACACTGAGACTGTTGTGACTATAATAAAGGGGTGAAGAGCTAGGAACCTGATTTGTGCCTCCAGCTTTCAAATGCATAGGCCTATTCACCTCATTTTCTAGTCATATTAAAGAAATTGTTCACACACTCAGCATGCACTTACACTTTGTCTGCAAGTAAGACATCTTCTATAGTTTGAAGAATGTTTAGCCAGAAATCCCAAGCATAACATACCTAGCATGGAAATATTGTTGCAAACGATATTCCAGTTTTGTCAGTAATTTGGGTATAATAATATAGAAAACTAGGCTTATACACCATGTGTACCATCTGGATATTCTTTGCGTCTGTTAAAAGAATCTGATGGCTGTAGGGAATTGATAATAGGATCAGAAGGGTCTGGAAGTTAAGAATCCTTTCGGTTTCTTGGGTAGGAGCATTAAAATGTTATATCAGGCACAGCAAGAACCAAATTGAGAAAATTATTTTCCCGTGAGACTTCCAGACCCAAGTCCAAATGCTATAAAAATGCAAATGGGTCCCACTTTTGAGGCCATCCCATTAATAATATGCCTCTGCCCAGAAATTCACACACGATAAAGGGGATCACAAAGATGAGCATGAGGTTAAAGCCTGTACTCTTGGGGCTACAAGTCTAGAATTTCCAGAATTTTTTCATCTTCTCTAAACTCCAATTAAATAGTGGGATTAGTCAATTGCTCTTATCACTCCATTCTGCCATCAACTTAGATATGCCTGGTGCATAGGAAGGCTGCAATAACCTACTGGCAATCAAATTCTTGTGGACAATTAAGATGCCACATTATAGTGAAAAGGTGGGACATTATACACCAACAAGGAAAAGCCTGCTGATTTCCACAATGTACATGTTATTCCTGGTCACAACATAATTGTGGGGGTTAATCTAATTCCCTGAAGCCATTGATTTGCTACTAATTGCTAGTTTTCTATGAATACATGTATTTTAAAACTCATTAACTGGAAGTATAGTATGCCAAAAAAAAAGGGCATATGAAAGGTCATTATAAAAAGGATTCATCAAGATCTTACAGTTGAACCAAAAGTCTGCATGTTTCTGAATGTCTTGGGTTCATATTAGTCATAGGCTAATTATAAGATGTAGCCTAGTGTATTTCATCTCCCAGTTATTACTAACACCAATGTGCTAGAGCAATTCTTTCCCATTAGGAGAACAGAGATCTCCTTCCTTCCCCCTAGCACGGGAATTTTCCTTTGTTTCCTCCAAAAAAAGGGTTATTTTCCTTAAAATAAAAAATCAGTTCCATTTAAGGAGGGGTGGAGAGTGGTTCTATCTGCCTGGCAGTGAACCACCAGACTCTAAATTGAGCCCAATAGGGAGAGATTCTCCTCCTCCATCCCCTTCTGCATATTTGTCAATTTACACCAATTCTAGCTTGGATCTGAGAGAGCAGACTTTAGATTCTCAAACTACTGGGTGTTCATGGATGTTTGGTTTTACTGCAGGTCGTACATAGAAGCTTGGTTTTATCCAGACTGAACGATTTGCCAGTAAGCAGCGTCTCACACTCCAGACAGGTAAAGTGTTTCTTGTGCCAGGTCAGCCCTTCAACTTGCTGGTAGTCCTCTGAGAATATTATCTGTGGATGGAAAACAGATAATCCTGTTAATTCCTCTGTATGAGGGAAAACTATGGCAATAGTCACCCTTCCAATTGCCAAATTGGAGCACAAAAAACCAAATGAACATGCTTACTGGTCGACATTAGATACAAAGGATGTTTTAGGAGATTGCATAAACAGTGAGTATGAGATTATTCTTGTTTGTTAAACCAAGTCCATAGACCACAATTATTTACAGCTTCATAAAAGAAGAACTAAAAATCCCATCGATTTTAGAGGCAAATAAAGGGGAAATTTAGCTTTGTTACGCTAATATAAATCCAGTATATCCACACCAAGCAAAATGAAGTACCTCTAGATTCATGATAGTGGAGTTAGAAAATGACTGTCCCCCAAAGAGTATGGATGAACACAAAATGAGTTAATTACTCATTTGTGACAAACATAACAGCCATCATACTTGATGTCAGACTAAAGGTCCATCTAGCCCAGTATTCTGTTTCTTGACAATGGCCAGTGCCAGATGCCTCAGAGAATGAACAGGACAAGTTATCAAGTGATCCATCCTCTCACCTATTCATAACATCTGTTTTTCAGAAGCTGGGGTCACCACCTCTACCCATCCTGGCTAATTGCCATTGATGATCCTATCTAGCACTTTAACCCTATTTTAGTCTTGGCCTTCACAAATCATCTGGCAAGTAGTTCCACAGGTTGACTGTCTGTGAGAAACAGTACTTCCTTTTGTTTGCTTTAAACCTGCTATCAATTTTATTTGGTGACCTGTAGAGTTCTTGTGTTATGGAAAGGAGAAAAATTCCTATATTCACTTTCTCCACCTTGCCTAGATTTTAGACGTCTTTCATATCCCCCCCCTTAGTGGTCTCTTTTTCTAATAGGGAGCAATGTCAGTGCTTTATCATGCTTCAGTGCATGAAT